TCTTTCTTTCTTTCTTTCTTTCTTTCTTTCTTTCTTTCTTTCTTTCTTTCTTTCTTTCTTTCATCTTTGTTTTTTGAGACAGGATTTCTGCTGTGTATCCCTAGCTGTCCTGGAACTAGTTCTGTAGACCAGGATAGCCTTGAATTCACAGAGATCCGCCTTCCTCTGCTTCCTGAGTGCTGGGATTAAAGGCGTGTGCCACCACCGCCCTGCAGTGTTTTGCCTCATGTATGTATGTGTGTAATGTGTGAGCCTGATGTCTGTTGAGGTTAGAAGAGGGTGTTACAGGGGACTGGAGTTACAGATGGTTGTCAGCACAGTGGGGGTGCTGGGGACTGAGCTTGGGTTCTCTGGAAGAAAACGTACTCTTAACTATTGAGCCATCTCTCCAGCCCCCTACCCTCTAACTTTTTCTTTCTTGTTTTCGCTCCTCTCTCTCTCTCTCTCTCTCTCTCTCTCTCTCTCTGTCTCTGTCTCTGTCTCTGTCTCTGTCTCTCTCTTTGAGACAGGGTGCTCTGTGTAGTCCTGACTATCCTGGGACTCACTTTGTAGACCAGGCCTTAAACTCAGATCTACCTGCCTCGTCCCTGCCTCTGGAGTGCTGAGAATAAAGGCATGTACCATCACACCCAGCTCCTTCTTATTTTCCATTGTCTCTAGTGCAGGCTGGCCTAGGAGTGTCAATTACTGTGCCTCTCATCCTGAGTGCTGGAGTTCCAGGTATGCACTACTGCAGCCTATTCTGGATAACAGCTTGAACAGACACATGAGGTATAAGCATGAGAGACTGAGGTGTAACTCAGTGGCAGAAGCTTGCTTGGCATGCTTGAGGCCTGGGTTTGAAACCCAGCAGTGCCAGAAACCTCACAGAAAAAGATAGGGAGCTGAGATGCGTAGCATTGTGAATTGAGTTACAAATGCTGGGGTCCTGGCTCATGAAGTAACAGGGCAAGTAGGTAGTCTACATGTTGAGTTTAGGTAAAGATGGGGTGCAGTAGGTAGATGCTGTATATGGAGAGGTGTCAAGCTAGGACTACATGTTTGGGTGGCACCTTTGGGAAGGCAAAGCAGAAAAAGCCCATATCTCTTGACTTGGCCAAACGTTTAGAAGTCATAATCTTTTGCTTTTAAAATCTGTGCTATAATCCTGGTGATGGCAGTGCATGACTTTAAATACCAGCACTTGGGAGACAGAGGCAGACAGATCTCCAAGTTCAAAAGGCAGCTTGGTCTACACATTTCTAGGACAGCTGAAACTACACAGAGAGACTCTATCTTGAATTTCCCCTCAAAAACAAAAAAGCAAACCTCTGTGTTACAGGCCTAAAGCTTCTTACATTGACTTTCCTTGTCTCAGGGTGGTGCATAAAAGCTGAAAGGAGATTCAAACTTAGGGTAGTTTTTTTTGCAAAGTGAGCAGATTAGACTCTGGATCAGTTGATAGCAGAGCTCTGAGATCTAAGATCTGGTTGTGCAAGTCACTGACTGTTTCTTTAAGGCTTACTCTGTTTGTCTGAAGTGAACCCTATTATGAGGATCACATCTGTTTTACCAGACAGTTTGTTTAGCAAAGCAGTTAGAAATCAGTGGCAAATCTGTTTACTACACAGGGTCCTAAACCAGCGCTTGACTTGAAATTAACTAACAGTCACCATCACACTATAGTGGGGAGGGTACCCCAATAATGCATAGTGGTAGAGAACTCTGGGTCACTGATGCGTAGTTATGGGAATCCACATACTTATTTACACAGTAATTATTGTGTGTTGTAATGTTGTGCCCCCCCTATTGGTGTAGTTGATAGCATCTTACTCTGACCTGGCACTTGATGGGATCCTCTTGCCTCTTTCCTGAGTGCTGGGATGACAGCCATGTCTGGTTTGGTTTTGGTATTTGCCTCACTTTTTGGAACAAACTAATATGTAGGGCAGAGGTTCTTGTGCCTTTTCCCCTGGATGCGTTCTTTTAATTTTTTAACTCAGGTAAAAACAGCTGTTTAATTTTGCCCTCAGGTAGACAAGTGAGTCTTCCAACTTAGCTGTCTCAGAGATGACAAGCTAAAGGTAGACACCTTGTGAAAGGAGTTGCAGAGTACAGGGAGGGCTGTGCTGCAGGGGTGTGCCTTCCAAGCCAACTTGGACTAGACTGAGACCTTGTTTTTTTTTTTTTTTTTAAAGGCTGCTGAGGTGGCCAACTCCTGTTATCCCAGCACTGAGCAGGAGGAACACTAGAACAAAGGGACATGACTAGGTAGGGACCCTGCTCTTTTCAGCCACTATTACAGGTGAGGTGAGAGGATGTGATCTCAGGTAGGTTGAAGAGAGTTTTTGAGAGCCAGACAGGTTCTAGGCACTGAATTCTGTAGTTCCTGAATTTGATCCTTACAGTTCTTGAGGTAGCTTTTTGCTAGGGACAAGAGACTGAAGCTTAGTCCAGCAGTGTAAGCATGCTGTGTAACCATGTCCAGCAGTGTAAGTGTGGGTGCAGTTTGTAAACTCTTGGTAGACTTCTGCCTTCCCAGGAAGACATGCTGGACCTCGGAGAACTGTTGGAGCAAAGTAGCATATTCTTAGGCCAATGGATTGCTTTACTGGGAAGGTAGAGACCATAAGCTTGACAGTAGATAAATACAAATGATGTTGACTGTTGTCTCATCCAAATGTGACTGAAGACTTGTTTTCTGTTTGGTGTGTGTTCTGTTTTTATGAGGGGTGATAATGTCTAAGTAGTACTTTTGGGAAGTTAATTTATCTCTGTAGAGATATGGTCACAATATGAAGTGACCAGTGCCTGCTACTTCAGTGCCTGCTACTGTAGTACTGGTTATTCATTTTTTTGGGGGGCTGTTTTCTGACTCTTTTTACTTTTTCTCTTTCTTTCTCCTTTTCTTTCTTTGGTTTTCAAGACAGGGTTTCTCTGTGTAACAGCTCTGGCTGTCCTGGAATTCACTCTGTAGACCAGGCTGTGTTGTGTGATATTTTGTTTTGTTCTGCCAAATAAAGCTTACCTGGGGATCAGCTAGCCACTATTTAACCACAGAAGCAGGGCAGTGGTAATTCAGGAAGTGGAGACAGGAAGTGAGGGCCTCTGCCAGTTCTCTGCTCTTCCAGGTTTTTACCCTGGGGATTTCTCTGCTTATCTCAGGCTGTCCTGAAACTCACTCTGTTGACAGACTGGCCTTGAACTCACAGAAGTCCACCTGCCTCTGCCTCCCTGAGTGCTGAGATTAAA